CAAAAAAATTACATTGAATCAAGTGGAAGAAAAGAAACAAATTGTCGCAGGAAAGTTTGCAACATGTTCTCGTATGTAAAACTTGAGCTATAACAAGTGATGGAGTACATTACTCAACCAGCTATGGGAGTTGGCAGCTCAATGAATTCTTGCAAAGTTTCCGACTAGTTTAAACGCTTTTGTTGAGCTAGATAATGTGACTTTATAATGTATTTTATATTTTGTACTAACATTAATATCTGATCGATTCAGGCAGTTTCAAATAGGTTAATAGGTAGTGTATTTACATTACCTACCTTAAAGATCTATTTTTTCGGATTTTGTCAGCAAACAACCAGGTGGATCACGGTGATGGTAATCAATTTATTGTCACTGCCAACGAGTTACAAGATTTTTTGAGATGGGAGTATTATAAAATGATTTCTAACACCCTAGGTGACACAGATTCTGACTGACTAAAAGCGACGCTGCTCTTCACCTCGTCTGAGTTACAAGTGCGTTATCTGATTTTAGTGTGTTGCTAGGAATTTAAAGATTGGGTGGAGGGGAAGAAAAGGCTTCCGAAACTGAGAAAATTTGATTTAGGCAGGATGACCTACGCTACCGAAATTCGGCATAAAAATAATTGTTAATTTGGGTACTTTTAGATTTCGGAAATCACTAAACTCTTCTCACGTTAAGTATTAACAACTTATTTAATTCTAGTTACATACAATTACTGGCAACAAAACAGTATATCCTTAGACACTTCGTTTTCACATTTACAATCTGAAGTCAACGAGACAAATATTCTGTTTGTAACTCAAAACATTACGGTACAAGTTGGGTTTGCACGGGGATCTCGCGTAAGCCGGCGCCAATTTTCGATAGACACGCGATCAGAAAGAAATTGCTCTCAAAGTCGTTTGTTTTCCGACTTAACGCACCTAAACCTTTTTTGTGACATGTTTCGTACACCTCTTTCTATTTTCTTAACAAATATTTAGAGAGTACTTTTGTATAGAAAATATCTGTAGCGAAATAAAAGGCCCAGTGTAACTGGACCTCCCTTCGTTCCCGCTCTCATTTGGATTATGAACAAAGCGACGGGATCTAGTTGTTTGTTAGAGATCCCAGTATATTGGATATTATTTTCGTCACAAAGATGTCTATGATTGGAGATTCTTTTGTGACTTAGTCGTATTTGTGTAGTCGCAGAATATTGTAGAGGATATATAACATAAATGTGTTGCTTGTGTTAATATACTTTGGGATACAAGTGGATTAATGTGGAGCAGTATTGTAGATTATATTCAAAATTCGGCAAGTCATTTGTTGATAGTTTTAGTAATTTACTTCTAATATCACAATGTCTTTGAACTAAACATTTAGGAATTTATATTTGCACGTACATATTTAAAAAAAAATATCAATGCAGAACAAGGGCACACTATAATTGGTTTAATATTTAATTACAAACTCTTTGTTGAATGCAAAGAATAGCAGAGAGAATATATGATTATGCCATTATTATTTTATGCACGATGTAGCAACTTTTTATGCGTTCTTCGTTAATAATTAACTTTTTTAATTTTTTTGAATAATAAAGAACTTATGTGTATTATTTTGGTTACTATTTTATTTTGTTTAATAAAAAAATCCATTATTTTCCAATAAATACTTTCTAAACTTTCTAATTGTATTTTTTACTCAACAATATTAGTTTAAAATAAATAATAAAAACGAATTTTATCTAGACAAGATGATAATATGATGATGATGAAAATCTTATACCTATTTATATTTTACCTGATTAATAATTATGAATTATCTCAACTGAATTGTATTGAAACAAATTTAAAAAAATATTTTTTCTTAGTATTCCCTTTTTTTTCTAATTCATCATCAGCCTATAATTGATCACTGCTGAGCTAATGTCTCTCTTCAGACAGGGTAACCTTCAGAAGGATAGGCGATTTGAAATATACTTAAAAAATATATGTACAGATTTCCTCACGATGTTTTCCTTCACCATAATATTCAACTCTCCAATTTTATTTGGCACCTATATAGACAGGAAGAAACATATATGTATATGTTTCTTCCTGTCTAGTACCAACTAAACATGTATGTCCATAGATCTATAGCATACGCTCCCCATACAAATCCATACAAAGGAGCATGTTACTAGCAGGTCCTTTGTTACACTATGCCACGAAGCTGCAATGCACTGTGACTTCACTTCTGATTAATCTCTATAACACAGTATGGGTATGTATGTATTGTATGTCTAAATGTTTGTCTAGTTTTCTTTGTGTGGATTCAGTATTATTGTTGACAGTTTATTTTATTTTTTCTTTATATACAATTGCATATCGGAGGTCTTAATGCTAAGAAGCATTTTCTGCCAGTCAACCTTTTGGTAGCGCAGAGATGTGTGGTAGGTGATACACAACAATTTTAGATTAGTTTAGTTTTAGGGGTTTTTATAAAAGTGATATTTTGGTTTTTAGTTAGCTCTGATTGTTTAGAGAAAGTTTTATTTTTTGTATTTATTTTTTCTTTGTTGGGGTCGGAAACGACTAACATTAAAATGATATAAGTAAACTTTGGGCTTTAAAAATATGTAAGTTTTTTTTTGTTTTTGAAAATTTTAATTTTCTGTATATTTTTGTGCTAATGAATACGGAGATTAATTAATACTAATTAGAAACTGTGGCTTTTAAACTTTCCATCTCACTGTAAACTTTGCGGTATCGTAGGGTTTTTTACAAATATACATTGAACTTAGAGTTACAGAATGAACATCTACATTGACATATACATTGAACTTAGAGTTACAGAATTCGCGACATCGGATTGTCGCAATTACTGTCGATCACAAGATTTTAAGACAACAATTAAATGTTGATTTGCCATTTTGACGTAGAAAATTTAAAACGCAATTGGTAGCGCTATTATTGCATAGCCTTTCTTTAGAATTCAGTAGCAAGTAAATCGTAGATCATGAGAACGAATAAAAAGGGCAATCGAATGAAGACCTCCTTCATTTTTTGAAGTTAGTTAAAAATACTTTAAGATTATTTCATACCTTGTCTATACGTTAGGATATAGTTGGAATAACAGAGAAAAATAGAAAGGTCTATATGTTAGTAATAGGGAGACGTGTCTAATGTCCTGAAACGGCGATAGAGCGGTATCCTGTTCCACATAAACTATCGATGTGACATCGATACATTGACCACACTAGCCATTTGTTCAAGCAAATGGTACAACACTATGTTCGTAAGAAATTGAGCTAGTTAAAGAATAGTATTTATAAGTGTTAGTAAGTTACTAAGTAGTAGAGTCTATAAATATCTATCTACATATAATACTAGTTCAAACTTTTGATGTAAGAGAAAGGTTTGGTTTAATTTTAATTTAGAAATAAATACGTCTTGTAACAGGAAGATTTTGTAGAGCTTCAATTCTCAAGGCGGGTTTAACACTTATCACTCATTTTTGGGAAAATGTTGATAAAGGTTGTGTCTTTCCGCCTATGTAATATTTAAGAACAAAATGAAAAAATAATCTTAAGGAGATTAAGGATATTTCTACTGTGGACAAGGGATGATTATCACATTTAGTAGTATTAAAGGTTTCTTAATATAAGTTACTGTCTTACTCATATCCAAACTAATATTATTAATTCGAAAGTAACTCCTAAATTACTGAACCGATTTCTGTGAAATTTGGTACAGACGTGGTTTGGAACTGGAGACAAGACATAGCATAGTTTTTATATCAAAAATTCTGCACTATTTTTATTCTACGCGAACTAAGTCGCGGGCAAAAGCTAGTTAAAATATATGCTTAAAATTTAGAAGAAAAATGGTCTCATTGAGGTAAACACCACGGTTGACGCGGTGGCTAGCAACCCGCTGTCATGCTACGTGTCGCAGGTTCTATTCCCGTTTTTTTTTTAGTGATCTACAAATTGTTGTTCCATGATGTGTATATGAAACCATATGTTTGTAAACGTACCTACGACACCCGATAAAATCCTACGCCAGGTTTTTTATAAAAATAAATGAATAAAAAATGTACTTATATCGTATCGATAAACGAAGTAAATACTTACTATTATTTTTAGATATTTTGCGTAATTGAAAAAAAATTGATAGTGAGTTAAATACTCAATTTTGTTTGAAATATTTGATGTTTTGTATTCATACAACGTAGTTTTCAAGTTAATTAGTGCACAGCAAATATACATATTTATGAACCAATTTCATGTTACAATGTTAGTCATAATATTTATTTTTTATAAAATATGAAAATATGAGTTATTTTTACCCTTTTTTTGAGTTTTAAGTGATATTTAAGTTCCAAATACGTATATTTGTGTTAGAATACATACGTAATTATTACAAGCAGTGTGTGCCTAGTGATATTAATAATACTTCTTCCACAAAACCGAAAAGTTGTTGCGGCTGTCAACGGACGAAGATATCGTCTTATTCGAATAATTTTATTAAACCAGGGGAGTATAAGTGATAAGTAATTACTGTTATTAGTTTAAACAACAAAACACCAAAATACTAACTAAAATCCTGTGCATAGCGCCCGTTACTTGTATATTGGACTGATTAACACAAAACCGGGTAAACTTTAACTACTTAGAAACAAACTTACAAAAATAAAAAATTATACTATATTGCTATTGTGCTATAGAATTTGTGTAAATTACATCGTTAAGCAGTATAGTTAATGTTAAAAAACATAATTTGTACGCTTTTCTCAGTAGTATATGACTATATCAGGTACCAATTGTATTCCAATATTTTGCTCATACCTACATATATTAAAAAGAAATATTCTTATGATAGAACATTCAAACTTAACTAAATTATTATTTTTCATATTCTTTACCTCTTTTGTACTTTAAATTCAACTCATTCCCTTCTTACTCACCTACCTTTCTTTTTTTTGCTGTTTTCTTTTTTTTTTCCTTTATTTCAGTGTTCATTTCTACTTACCTGCCAATATGATGACCCGGGCAAAGGAAATGGAAATTAAACTGAGGGCAGCACTTAAGGAATTGGAGTCATCCAAACTCCTGTGTGACCAACTGCTGCAGGAGCGGGAAGACAATGAAGTGGAAGTGAAGAACATTATTAATAGGAATAGTAAACTCAAAACTGAATTGGCCGAACTACATGTATGTCACACGGACCTGCTAGACCAACATAATAGATTATTTAACGAAGTCAGTGCTTTTCAGCAGTGCACCGAGACTCATGAACATGCTCTGACACGCATATCACAACTTGAGCATGATCTAAGAAAAGCCCATAATACAATAAATAAACTAGAGGCTAGTAAACAATCAGTACAGTCAGCTGATACTCTTTCTTTATATGATGAGTTAGTTGGGAGTGGGTCTGGTGACATATGTGAGCAGGCCATTACCATAGACTTGACTGGTGATGACACTATCCCCACTCGCCCTGTACTCAATAGTCATAATAAAATAAAAAAGTATATTAGGTTAAATAAAACAATCAGAAAATTAAACAAAACTATTAGGAGGCAGAATCTTTTAAAGGACAGTGTAAACTTAAGAAAGCAAAAATTATTGTTAACTAATGAACTAAAGTATTGTAAAACTGAGTTTGATAAAAGTAGAAATTTGTATGAAGTAGATATTCAAGCTCTCCGAGAACAACTATTACAAAGAGAAATGTTCATAAATGAGTTGTTCCAAAAATATGAATCTGCTCAACTAGAAATAAATAAAAATATGGTTGAGGCAGGTAAGCTTGTAGATTTGGTGACATACAGTGCTGAAAGATATGAGTCATTAGCAAATAATTTCTCATGCAGCTGTGCCTGTGCCCCGGATTCAGATGTGGGGCCTATGCCTCTGGCACCTAAAATAACACAAGAAATTATAAAATATAACACTTGTGTTTTTACTGACTCAATAGGCATAGGCATTGGGTCACTTATCTCAAATGGCCTAAATCCAAATTGTGGTATAACTAACTATTGTTACCACAACATAAAATTTGGTCAGATAATTAACAAAATAATGCAGGAACCTATCACAAGACATCAGCCTATAGTTATACTAATGGGTGATAGTACAGGTGTTAGAAAGAGGGACATTCTGAATGGTGTCAACACCTTAATAAAGCTAGATTCACGAAAGATAGTATTATGTGCTTTCCCATATTCAGACACTCTGTCAGTGTCTGAGAATCAGAGAATACATAGTATAAATGATATGATATTCAGTTTGACATGTCATAGTGACAATTTATTGTTTTTTGACACTAACAAATTTGTTAGTAGTTTTAAATTGACTAGGAAGTCTTTGTTAATTCCTAGAAAATGTAAAGTATTACTTGCTAGCCTTCTAGCAAATATTATTAATCTAGTATTAAGTGACGAAACTATATTATTTAGACATTCTAATAATGTAGTGATTGATTGTACATATAATAGTACGACGGAGACTCAACATTTAGGGACAAATGTGGGTAGCACTCCAGATAATTTTTTAAATTAAATTTTGAGACAACAGAAGATAACCTAATGAATTCTCATACTACAAATTATCAAAAGGTTTCTTCTCGCCGCATATTATATAATAAACACAAACAAGGAAATATTACACTCCTTAGTCAAAATATTCAGGGCATTTCATCCAAATTACTAGAATTGGAATTATTTTTAGAAAAATTTAAATTTGACATAATTTGTATAACAGAGCATTGGATGAAGAAGTATCAAGTAGAATTTATGAGTTTTAAAAACTATTGTGTTGGTAGTTTCTTTAGCCGTCAAGCAATGATTCATGGTGGTAGTTTAATTTTATTGAAAAACTCAATTAAGTATAAAGAAAGACAAGATATAACTTCACTTTCCATTGAACATACAATAGAATTGTCCTGTGTAGAGCTGGATAGGCATGTTGTGATATGCGTCTATAGACCTCCAAACTTACAAAACTTAAACGTTTTTAACTCTGTTATGGAACAAGTGTTGCAGAAAACGTGTTCGAACAGTAAATTTACAATAGTATGTGGCGATTTTAATATTGATGTCTTGGAAAACAATTCTAATTGTATTAATTTAGTAACTCTTTTTAAATCTTTTGATTTGTCTAATGTATTCCTTGAGCCCACCCGAGTAACATCCACCTCGGCTACATGTATAGATAATATATTTTGTAACTGTGATTATTTGCACAAAAATATTGTTAATAGCTTACCATCAGATCACAGTGGGTTAACAATAAACTTAAACAACATCACAACGGTGCCAAAAAAGGAAATAATGTTTAGACATATCACGGATAAAAAAGTTGAGTCATTAAATAATAATTTAAAGCAAATATTATGCAGCCCATCACATGATTATGAAGGTCCAAGTGAGATTTATGCCAACTTACTGGCCATTATTAAAACCCAATTTGATAAATTATTCCCCTTAAAACGTAAAATCATTGAATGTAAATTTGTATTCTGTGACTGGGCTACCCCCGGTATTCGTAGAAGTAGGGGAAAGTTATTTGAACTATATGGTATGAAACCATTTAATACAAGCGAAGCCTTTAGCAAGCATGTGTCCAAATATGCAAAAATATTTAAAATGGTCTGTAAGCAAGCAAAATCTCTTTACATTAGCCGTAAGATTAAGAACGCTGAAAATAAAACAAAGGCTACATGGAAAATAATTAACAATGAGACAGGCAGACGTAAATTGCATAACACGGAAATTAATTTAAATACCGGAAATGGACATGTTAGTGTAAATCGGGAAGTTGCACAAGAATTTGAAATTTTTTTCAAGAATATCCCCATTGAAACTACAAAGGACTTAGAATCATCTCCGGCACTTTCAATTAGTCTTCTCAAAAGAAATATTAAAGAATGCCGTTCTGATTTCCAATTTCAGTACACAAACCCCCAATCAGTAATAAAGGCGTTTAAAGACATTAAAGTTAAGTCTACAGAGGATCTCTGGGGAATGTCTGTTGCAGTGTGTAGGGCTTTTATAGAAGCTATAGCGCCTCATTTAGCTTTAATTTATAATAGAAGTGTAGATCAGGGAGTTTTTCCAAATTTGATGAAACATAGCAAAGTAGTTCCACTGTTTAAATCTGGCGATGATACCGATCCTAATAATTATAGGCCGGTATCTATTTTACCGGTGCTTAGTAAGGTGTTTGAAAAGCTGATGCTTTCTCAGATGCTGCGTCACTTTAACATGAATTCTATCTTTCATGATCAACAATATGGGTTCACCAAAGGTCGATGCACAACTGACGCCGGTGTAACTTTAATTAAGCGTGTTTTTGCCTCGTGGGAGGAGTCGCACGACGCTATTGGAATTTTTTGTGACCTGTCCAAGGCTTTTGATTGCGTCGAACACGAGACACTGTTGCTAAAGTTGGAACACTATGGTATTCGAGGGGCTTCACTCAATTTATTAAAATCATACCTCCAGGATAGGCAGCTTAAAGTACAGGTAAACAAAGTGAATTCTCAGGGTGCTAGCATATCTATGGGCGTACCACAGGGCTCGATATTAGGTCCTTTCCTATTTTTGGTCTACATAAATGATTTACCTCATTTATTTCAGCGAGAACCGGGAATGGTATTATTTGCTGATGATACATCGTTGATTTTTAAAATAAATAGACGGACAAATAATTATGACGAAGTAAATAATGCTATTACGAAGGTTCATAACTGGTTTACAGTTAATAATTTAGTTCTAAACGACAAAAAGACAAAGTGTATACGATTCAGTTTACCAAATGTAAAAAGTAACGAATGTGACATATTATTAAACGGCAAGAAATTGGAATTTGTAAAACAGACTACTTTTCTGGGTATAACCATAGATGAAAAACTACAATGGGGGCCCCATATCACATCTCTGGCAGGACGGTTGAGTTCTGCAGCATTTGCTGTCTGGAAGATCCGACAGCTAACAGATGTGGACACTGCAAGACTGGTGTACTTCAGCTACTTTCATAGCATTATGTCGTATGGCATCTTGTTGTGGGGACAGGCTGCTGACATTGAGTCTATATTTGTCTTGCAAAAGCGTGCAATCAGAGCAATTTACAACCTAAGGCTTCGCGAATCTCTTAGAGATAAATTTAAAGAGATCAATATTATGACTGTGCCCGGTCAGTTTATTTATGAAAATATAATGTATGTTAGGAAACACTTAATATTATTTGATAAGGTATCAGACAGACATAATTACCAAACTAGACATAGAGATAGATTGTGTCAGCCATTATTTAGATTGGCAAAGGTACACAAGTCGTTCATGGGATTCAGCGTTAAGTGTTATAACAAAATCCCAGGCGAAATACAACAATTAAATGAAAGAAATTTTAAATTATGTGTAAAGAAAACTTTGTGTAAAAAAGCATATTACAAACTGAGTGATTATATTGAGGATAAGGATGCTTGGAGACGGGCTGGTCCTGCTCCACAGGATAATATACCTACACGAATCTAAATAATGTTCCAGTGGATCTTTGCTTGAACGGAAGTTCTTAGATTTTGTAAATTTGTAACCATGCTATTTTTATTGTTAAACTTGATAAATTTGTAAATGTGAGTGCCCTGTAACCTATTAAAATTAGTTAGACTAGCAGAATGTCGGTCCATATGTCAGCTTGGAGTTGTCATGCTCACTCAAAGGTCACATTGACGGTGGCACGGTCACTGGATCGCTCGATTCCCTATATTATGGTTGAGTTGGGCGATGCTGGTGTACGTGTCATGCTCGTGAACGGGCGCCGTCAATTGGGACTGGTCAGCTCCGGACTGTCTATTGTCCTTAAGGTTATTTTCTTTTTATGTTTCTCTGTATACACGCGTTACACTGTTCTCACATATTCAAACTAACTAAATAATGTATCAAAGAATGTTTATGTGACACTGATTTTAAAAGAGTAACCATGGAGTTTCTTGCTCGTTCTTCTCCATCGGAATCTACACTTTGGAACGAGCGAATAGCTTCACTAAGAGGACTGACCGACAGACTGACACTTTGTATCTTTAAAGTTGTGTTGACGTTCAAAAGTGCCTGTATGGGTCTAATTGAAATAAATAATTTTGACTTTGACTTTGACTTTATTC